GAAAAAAAAAAATTTGTCCCGACATCTTATCTTCTATGTGCAAATGGCTGTCGAAAATTTAAAAAAAAATGTAATGTTTGCGATAAAAATTACATTTTATCGGGATGTTTTTTGTACTTAAAACTGCCATAACTTTTTCAAAAATGGACAAATAAAAATAAAATTTTCTTGTATTGAAACCTTAGATATTTCCCTTTCACTTGATATAATTTTTTTTGAAAATCTAACACTTATTCTGCTCTCTGGGGGGATTTAAAATAGTAACTTTTTTACAAAAACTAACATTTTCAACTTAACTTTTGAAAATTTTCCGGAAATACTGCGTCCTTTAAATATATATCAAATTAAAGCTTATTTTATGTACTATAAAATGAAAAAAAAAATTTGTCCCGACGACCTATCTTCTATGCGCAAATGGCTACCATATTCAAAAATATGCTATTTTAACAAATTTTTTTTTTTAAATTAAACACTATCTACAGGTTTGCATCGAAGCGTTTTTTATGATAGTGATTTTAATCACTGTCAGATTAAATCTATACTGGACCTAACTATGCAATGTCTCCACTATGCCGCGACCCCACTGTGCTACCGTTTTTNTATACTGGACCTAACTATGCAATGTCTCCACTATGCCGCGACCCCACTGTGCTACCATTTTTTTTTTTTTTAAACGGGTTAATTAAAAAAACGGCACAGTGAGGTAGCAGTAAAATGCGAACGTGGCATAGTTAGGTCAAATATAGATGATATCTGACAGTGTTTAAAAACCCTATTATCATAATAGACGTTTCGATGCAAATCTGTAGATAATGTTGAATTTTAAGAAATTATTGGATTATTCCAAAAACAAAATGAACTCCTATTTATTTCATTTTTCCTAATTAGTAGTTCTATGATATATAAGTGTAACAAGCAACTCCTTAATATTAAAGGAGGTTGCCTGTTACTGTGCGGTGTTGTAATAAACAAAAAAAAGAAAGTGGCAAAAAGAATGAGGGAGTTAAAGATGATAAGAATGAAGTCATATCTCGGGGTCGAACTATATTTATTTATTAAATAATAAATATCCCTACCTCATTTATTCCTATTCTTGTTTATTACGTGATTTTTTTAGAAGTAAGGCATGCAAATAAATATTCGCACTTACCTTTATTTCCTTTAGTAATTGACTGAGTTGGTTTTATGGTGATTTCTTCCTTAAGTCGTTTATACTGTCTTGCGTTTATTTCGATTTATTAGTCTCTCTGCGTATATTAGACTTAGAAAAATGGGTTCTCTATAATGGGACCTGCGTCTATTATAATTTGTCATCTTTTTTTTATTTTCTTTAAATTCCTTTTATATTATACTATGTTTTTACTAATAATATTTTTGATGAATTCCCTACAGTCGATATTGATATTCTTAAAATTTACTCTGAACTAGTCAAAATATAATTATAAGAATATGTCTATCTATATTCAAAATATAATTAACAAGACTGTGGTGGCCCAGCGTTTCTCAGCGTAAAGTCTTGGCTGGCGCGGACACAGTTACCTCGCTAATATATTTTAAATATTATTTCAATACATCTTTTACTATCCTTTACGTCAACTGCCTACACGTTACCGAAAGGTAATTGGTATAGTCCTTTATAGCTGGCGGGTACACAAGCAGAGAATATTTCCAAGATGTAGTTTCCTATCTTACGGACTATATATTTTATGATGAACTCTACCCGGACTGCTAGCTCTAGAACTGGCTTATCGACGGATATAGCTCACTTCAAAAATACTCTTTTTATAAGTTTAGTACTACTCTGTACCTCAACTGCCTACACGTTACCGAAAGGTAATTGGCATAGTCCTTTATAGCTGGCGGGTACACAAGCAGAGAATATTTCCAAGATGTAGTTTCCTATCTTACGGACTATATATTTTATGATGAACTCTACCCGGACTACTAGCTCTAGAACTGGCTTGTCGACGGATATAGCGCACTTCAAAAATACTCTTTTTATAAGTTTAGTACTACTCTGTACCTCAACTGCCTACACGTTACCGAAAGGTAATTGGCATAGTCCCTTAGGGCTGGCGGGTACACAGGCATAAAGTACTACTACTAGAACTAATTAATTCTAATCACAAATTATGCTTCTTCATTTAGTTCGGCACATTTAAGGCTGTTCATAAATATAGGGCACAATAAGCTTTATTATGAATATACGATAATGTATAAGGCTATTATGCCTGTATAAATAAAATTACGCTTCTTCACTCTTTTCGGCACATTTGAAGCTGTCCAGAAATGAATAATAATAATAATAATATTTAAAACCTTTATATAAAAATAGAGATAATGTCTATTTGTCGTGAGAACATTAAGTGATAATATAAATAAATAAAAACTTGTTCCTGTGTAAAATATTAATATATCATCTAAGACAATGTTCACCACTTAGGATGATACATATAAAAAAAACTAAGTCACAGACACAAAATATTTACTTATACTGACGCAGATTCCATGTAAGAGAATATTTAGAGGGTAGTCGTCGTAGCCGTTGTCGCAGTCGCAGTCGCAGCCGCAGTCCCTTTTTACGAGAAAAGAATGGCTTTTTATACGCCGGATGAAGTAAGCCAGCGATCTCTATTGAAATCCCTAAGATGTTGGATAATTATTTGTGATTGGTTAATTGTGATAGAAACACTGCCGTGGGCGTAGTTAATGAATTGTAGGGGACTGGTTTGAAACATATGTTGATAAATAGTTATTTTTATTACCCTAAAAGAGAAGGGTGAAATAAATTGTGCTGACGGGTCTAAACTCTACCCCTTTAGTAGTCCACTTATTACAGAGATTGGGGCTGATCAATTTATCCAACGGGAGGACTCGAGAAGAGCTCGAACGACGAACTCGTCGTCAATATATATATATAAAACTTTAATAAAATTTTATGTCGTACGTCGGTAGTGCCCCAACGTAGACACAAAAGGTTTTGATATTTATATAAAAAGAGCTCATTTTTAGACACTTGGTTATTAATACAAATTGGAGTCGGAGAAGAATATAACATCAAGTATTATAAAAGCTAAAAAAAGTATTAGGAAAAAATTACTGGAACTCAAACGTGATGTTGACCAAACTAGACAGATTATACGCGAGCATGCGAAACCTATCGTTGAATTTCTAGAAGAAATTGTAAGACAAACAAACAACTTTTTAAAATATGTAAATCGAATGATGCAGAGAAATATGATGCCGAGGAATACGATAATATTGATAAAAATCAAACAGTCATATTGTCTAAACCGTTACAACAACAATCAAACTTTGATTTGGTCTACGGTGTAACGGTTACAACGATGGAGACTTTAAAATGAGTGATAAAATGGTAATCATCAATGAACATATGGGTAACATAAAAATTGGTGCTCTAAAATAAATACCACTGACGAAAGGATTACACGAATTGTTATTTAAAAAGATACCCAACGTTACTTCTAATGTTAACGTAAATTAATATACACACTAGAA